ATATATATAAGTGTAAGTTATTTTAATGATATACAGATAAGATACACTGGCATTCTAAAAAATGTTATTATTTAGTGAAATCAGTGAAATTCGTTATAATAAGAAACGATGCAATGTTTTTCTACATATTCCTCTCCAAGTATAAGAGATTCTCTTTTAAAAAAAAATTTTATTACAAGTCTGTTCTTTGCATGATTAATAAATAATAATTAATTATATAATTTAAGCCTCATATAACTTAGGTACATAAATAACTTTCAATCAGTAGATTATTTAACAATAAATGGTGTAATTCTTGCAGATGCGGAGATGTTTCTCGTTTGACAAAAAATCTGGAGGAAAAATTGGCTCAAAACCCAGATTTTGCCGAGAAAAGAGAAATGGCCAGAAAGAAAGAGAAGAAAGGTTTCCGCTACATTCTGAGACGCCTATTTTCTGGGTGTTTCACACGGAAATAAACTGCGTGAACCCAAAGTTAAACATATCACGATTTAAGACGATATATCCCGACTGTGACATTTCCCAACTGTGACATCTCCCGACTCTGTGACTCAAAACCTCGATATTACCCGAATAAAGACTTACCTAAACTGGACAAAAGTTTCCAAATATGTGACTATGAGAGTATGAAGCAGCGACTGTAAAAGTACTGAATGTAGACTGCGTTGCTCAAATGTGATACTCTTAAAATGGACTATATTGCCCAATTGTGTGACTTTTAAAATAGACTATGCACAATTGTGTGATTTTTAAATGGACAATGCATAATTGGGTGATTTTTTTAAGAACACATTTTCTGATTTTGTGACTTTTTCTGACTGTGACATTTCCCGAATTAGACGACACGTCCTGAAAGTGAATGGAATAAGTAACTTTTCAAAGTTGCCATTTTCTGAACCTATGATTTCTAAATTAGGGAGTACAAAACTGTATGACTCCTAAAATATATGACATTACCAACTGTATGACTACCGAATTTTACCATCTTTGATTGCAAATTGTTCCTTTATTTATTAAAACTGAATGTATGCCTGTAAAATTAACGCAAAGTACAATAAATGGAACATGTTTAAAGTTTTTTTGTTTTTGTATTACTCTTATTATTAAGAATTATTAAAATTAATTTTTATTTAAAATGTATGTGAATACTCTGTGACTTTGTGACGAGGGAAGTTCTTTCCACAGACAAACTATACGCGTTTTTCACAAATACACTCGTATAAAATTCTATGAACAAACTTCTTTGAATAGAAGCAGAGAACTTTTAAATATTAACTTAGACTTGGGATTTCTGAAGTAGTCATAAACATTACTTAGTTGTAGTATTATGAAGAGACGCGATGGTTCAATATTTAAGGCACTAGTTTTGTCATTGCGAAGAGCTGCGGTTCGATCTCTAGTGGCTGCTGGAAATAAGCTTAGCTTGCTGTATCGTTAAAATTTGTCAATATATCCCCAAAATTAATTACCCAAATCAAACTTTTGATTACTCACCATTGGAACACTTTTACTTAAAGGAAATTTAATCGATAAATAACTTCTACTAATTTCATGGAAAAAAAACCTTTTCAACATTTTGTTTGAAAATTGCATAAAAGAAAAGTTTGAACTATAAAGGTTTGCCAGATATATATATTAAAAAATAAATGCATGATTAATTAAAAATTTAAAATTAAAACATTTTTTAAATAATTCAGAAAATATACTATAAATGAAAAATGATTTATCTATATTTTCACTTCAAGTCATTTAAGTTGAAAAAAATCTTTATCTAAACCTTTTGATACTAACCTTAACTACATTTATTGTTTACTGTTAAAGTTGAACGGCATTCAGGAGAAAAATACACTGTAAAAAATCCGAATCGAATTACGGTCACAATTACCGGCACGCAGAGTGCCGTTACCGTCCGCAAAAAAATATAAATAAACAAATATCACCCTGAATAACTTTCGTTCTAATGGTTGGATTTTCATGAACTGTGTGTCAATCTTAATGGTTCCTGGGGGTGACCTCAAATATGCTAATTAATATGTGCTAACTATTAATTAAATTACGAAATCATACTCAAAAACGTACTTTCTCTGAATAAACATATATTTTTTAACATATTTGGATTCTTAACCTTCGAAATATCGGGGGTAGCCGCAATATAGGAAATATGGTTCCCATAGTTTGATCAGGAGACCGATCCAAAGCTCGGACCCTTTAATGTTAAGTTAACTTTTTGCGCTTTTAGTCATATTTTTAAAACTAATTAAGTAAATCAAAGAAAATTGCTCTCACCTAAAATATCCTTTTACCCAAAGGTAATTTCATGCAAAAATAATTTTTAATAATTATTTTTTTTTTTTAATTTTATTGGGGATGAAAAAGTTTTGAATTATGAGGTAAAACATTATTTATACCGTATAAATCTACGTATTTTTTTACATCAAAATCTAAAGTTTCAACAATTTTTATTTGGTAGAAACCGAGAAAAATTCAAATTAATTATAACTTTTAAAAAAATAATTTTGCGACAATGAAGAAACATTTAAATGGGGCGATTAATCTTTAAATGTGGTTAGCTTACGAAGAACTTGATTTAAGCACGCGTAGAGCAAAATTTCATTCATATATTTTTCGCTAATAACCGTATGCTAATCCTTTATTTAAATTGTAAAATAAAATGTTTTTTTAACCTTCTAAAAATTTATTCTTAATTTAATAAAGAGACTTGAATAAAACTTTTCATTGAATAAAAACATTTTATTATTACAGCATGCTTCTGATAGAATGTAATTATATATCAGCTTTTTTATTTTAATTGTTAGTGTGTTCTTCTAATAATTGATACAATTTCAATAATATACCAATGTATGCATAGATTTGCAATAATATGTTTGTCAATTTTTTCAATATATATTTTACAATTATTAATATGAATGCGTAGTCAAGATCTTTAAGCATCTTGAAATTTCTCAACATCTTATATATCGTCTTAATCTTAAAATAAATGTGTTAATTACCTGTCTGCGCTTGTTTCGCAGAATTATTTTTCAACTTTTTAATTATATTTTAACATTTCTCAAAATCTTATTCTTTATGCTTTAAGTGTATTATTTTTACATTATTATATACTAATCAATTGCTTTAGTACTTTAATTTATGTTTTCCTTTAAAGCGAAATTCCTTTTTAAATTATTGTTAAGATTTTATTGAAAGAAAACTTAGAATTATTGCCAGCTAGCTGAAAATTTAATCTTGTTAAGAAATTAAAAATGTTCTACTGATCAAAATCATTCGTTGCAGAACAGTTGACTATTTACTAAACATACTATTATTTTCGAAAAATGAAGATAAATGATTAATTGTTTTTTTTATTGCATCTTATTTGTTTGAATAATGAAAATTAAATGCGTATGTGTGCACAGCGAAAAATTTCAACAATTTTTTTTGTTTTTTAAATGAACAAAAAACTATGGACACAAATTTATTTATTTTTTACGTTCAAAGTTATTCTTGCCCGCTAACTTTAAGAAAGTTACCCTTTTCTATCAAAAAGTTAAAAATATTTGCTTAACTCCTTGAATACTTAAGACTGCATCTTATTACCTGAGAAAACTGGTCATTAGATAAAAAGTTATTATAGTGGTCCGTTTTTCCATTTGTGAACTGTAGTATATCAAATTGCTTATGTAGTTATTATTTTCTTATAAGTTATCTGTGTATTTATTATTTTTATAACTTCCATTTCAATTTAAACTACTGTACACAATATATAATTCCCTAATTACTTTAGATAAGACATCAATTCTACAAGCATTAATTCAAGATAAAATGTACCCCATATTAGAGATTTCTAAATTGTTAAATTATACCTTGAAAGCATAAGCCAGCATCGAAGAAATGTAATGTATTCTTTAAATGGAACTTACATTAGACCTTAAGATTCAAAATAATTGGAAATAATGGATGAATGAGTAAATATTTCTTATAAATACTTAGTTTATTTATGTTACATACAGAAGTTTGAATAAAAATATATTTGAACAAAGTAATTACGTCCAAACCGGCTCATTTTTCCATGCACTTAGATTCATTTTTGGTAATTTTCCTTTTGAGCAATCTTCAAATGGATTCCTAGAAAATAAAACAGAATAACTATTATACAGAATTCGTAAAATATTGATATATAATATCTAGGAAGTGTAATAGTTGCAAACTGAAGAAAATGTATCGAAAACCACTCTAATTATAACTACTTTTCCTCAAACAAATATTTACCAAAAATAAATAAAGATTTTTTCATAGTAAAACTCCCCCCCCCCCGTCTTACCCCAGTTGTAAGACGGGGAACATGTTAACTCTAAGAGAAATTCAGAAATACTTGAAATTCAGAGAAAACAAATAACAGATGTTTCTGTTTTATATGAAAATTATGCATGAACTTACATGTGATGTAGTCAAGGCCGTACTCAAGGAGGAGGGAAAAACGGACAATTGTCTTAGGGTCCGAAACTCTTCAGAGCACGACCAAAATGCGTTACAAAAAATTTAATGTCCTTAATTAGTTTATTAAAATAAAATTGCATGGAATTTATGTATATCTACATAAAAACTACAATTTTACATAAAGTTTTTAAAAATTTTACAAAATATGAAAATATTGCTTTTTGTTCTCTGAGTATAATGTCTGCAATAAATTTTGTCCTGGGTCCCGTAAGACCTTTTTTCCCCCTTCGATGCAGTTATCTTCTTCCTCTGCTGAACTGCAGCTTTCGTGGGCCCAGCATGTACACACATTAAGGGGTACTTGGTCTTACCTCAAGAGTAGAGGTAATCGAAACGAAACAGAACAGTGCTACTATCGGGTTGAATCCTTATTGTTTGTTAGGGCATGAATCTTTAGTATACATATAATAAGCTGGACTAAACATAATCTTTATAACTCCATTGACCAATAAATAAAGGTAGCTTAAGATCAAGGGAACATTAGAAAGTTGGCATTGTAAAACAAACTAATCTATAGAGGCGTCATAAATTAATCAGCAACAGTACGCCAATAGGTACTTCTTGATTAGTAAAATTTAATTCAGAGTTTGTCCGCTAAAAAGTCTAGAAGTTCCCGATCTTACACCACGCTTATCTATGTATCTTTCATTTCAAAGGTATCAGGTTCAAATCTAGTGTTAGATAGGTTTTTTTTCTCTTTTTACGAATTATTTGATTTTAGGAACTGGAAGCATGCAATAAAATTTTCAAATTAAAGAGCCTTTTTAATTTGATTTTTCCAGCAAATAATTTAAAATTGCGATCATCTCATTCGGTTATTTATAAGGTTATTTATTATCTCATAAGGTTATTTATTTTGAAAATACCCACTTTATTGCGAACAATAGCACCTATACAATTTCACGTGTGCTCTCCATTATTTTTCAGTTGTAAACCAAGAAAAAGGTAAAAGCTACAGGTAAAGATTGGAACGTGATTGCGTTTACCATGCCGAGGGAAAAAGAAATCATGTTCCAATCAAAAAATTAACTCTTTCTTCAAAAAAAATCTGAGTTGAATAATTTTTTTTATATATATTTTTTTTCATTACCCAAATAATAGTTAGCTGTAGTTCTTTTAACGCAGTCTGACTTGATTTTTGCAAAGAAACTCCTATAAAACATTTTGAAAATATATGCTGAAGGCACTTGAAGTTTCTTAAACACTCAGTATTTTTAAGTATTATATACATAACTGTTAATTTATGAATAAGGAAGTTACAATGAAACCTAAAACATTAAAAATAAAATTACACTCACGGACTTTGAGAATCTGTTTCTGAAAGCTATTGTATTTATTACAAAAAAAAGCTTTATTTTTGACAGAGACAAATTCTTCTTAAACCATAGAACACAACACTGAAATGAGCTGAATACTGGAGTACAAAGTTTAGAAAGAATATTAGGTAATATTTTTTTTCTTATATTTGAGATAAAACTATGTTTTTAAGTATATATGTTAAGTATTAGAACTTTATAATCAATAAGGTTTTTAAAGTACTGGAGGCTTCTTTTTATAAGACAAAACTACCATCTTAAATCTGTTAGAACTGTTATACTAACCAATTAGCTGGCTTTACGAAGGATACGAGTTGAACTTCTTTGACATTGGTGTTATCACAGAATAACCGAGATAAAGTAACTTTACGTATCTCCTTCAGTTGTGCTACAATTAAGATAAATATTAATCAAATTTGATTTAACTACAACAAATATAATTAAATTAAAGACATATAGTACATTAATATAAAACAGATCATATTTATATTAAATCAAAGCAAAGACATACCTGCATGTATTTTCTCTTTCCTTATAATATTTGATTTTATTTATAATTGTGATGCATAATTTTAAGATTGCTATCAATAAATTTAAATAAGAGTATACATGAAAATTCATTTGCAATTGAGCAGAATTGTTAGTGACATTCTGATAGCAAACTCACGAAACTTTTCTTTCACAGCAGTTTTTATTTGAATTTTAATAGGTGTTGGCTCTTATAATTAGAACTGAAACATTTCTTTTCGGTAAAGTTTATTTTTGAAACGATAATATCATAAATATAAACGTAATTAATGTTGAACACAATGCAGAGAAACTTTGTTGACACAAATTCAACAGAAGTCTGTCAAGAATCAACAAAAGTTTGCAGTATCAAACAGATACGCGCTTTCAAAACTTTACAGCACTATAAGAGATACAGTAAATTCTGTTCTTCTTAAAAAATTTCTAAAAATGCATCTCATTTAAGAAGAAGGGCAACGATTCAAAAACGAAGCGGAACGGATTAATCATAAATGTGGTCCTCATAAACTGGGCTTTCTCTTTTTTAAATAATTATCTCATATTTTAATAATTACCTCATATTTTAAAGAATACATCTCTAAAAGAATGTTGATAATCTATAGAGTACTGAAAGATTGAAAATAGTTTTCAAAGAGCTGTGGTAGCTCAGAGGATAGAGCATTCGCCCTCCAATGAGGTGAACCGGATTCGAATCTCAGAGATGGTTGGTCGATACGAATTCCGCACCCGTCTCGCACCGACCACAGAGCTGATGTAAAATATCCTCTGTGGTAGACAGATCATGAGTCCGCTTGCCGTCAGGCTAACAGCGAGAGATCTTCGCGGTTTTCCTCTCCATGTAACGCAAATGCGAGTTAGTTCCATCAAAAAGCCCTCTACGAAGGCAAATGTTTATCAATACTTAATCCAGGAGTTCCCTTGTCTTCTGGATTGGGTTCGAAGTTGCAAGGCTACGGAGTTGAAAATTAGTATTCATAAACCCAAAATTAGGTCGACTGTTCTTCGACTATCATAAAATAAAATACTTCTGAAATCTACGTAGGACTTTTTGAGCTGCGTGATGAGATTGAATTAATCATTAAAGAATCACTTAAATACTTTAAAAGAAATTAGAAATGGTATAAATTCACTCTACTGTGTTAAGGGAAATATTTTGTCAAAGAATCAAGCTCAATGTAGAGAAATCCCCACCGAAGCTAGAAAGTTTCATAAAATTCTCTGATTTTCCCCATCGATACGGATTATGGATCTTTATGATTGCAGAGTAACAGACATGGTGAAAGAAGAAAAATATTTCTAACCCAGAAAATTTCCCTAAATCCTCAACATTTTTCCTAAATCTTTTTCAGACCGAAGTAAAACCGAAGTAATCTGCAGAACTATGTAACAGTTGCGAGTATAGTTACTAACTTCAACCATTGGCCAGAATGTACCATTTATCCATTTGCCATATCTACCATTTATCTGAAATTTCAAAAATCACAAAAATAAATTTAAGTAATTAACTTCTACTTCAATTTAAATAGCTATTTATCTTTCTCATCATTACTATTAGTTCCCTATTAAATCATGATGGGAGACCAAAANATATCCTATGGCATTTTTTATGGCAAACCTATGGCAAATTTTTATGGTAAAAATTTTCCTAAGGGCATAAACCCAAAATTGGGTTGGTTGTTCAACGACAGTCATAAAATAAAATACTTCTGAAACCTACGTAGGGCTTTTTGAACTGCGTTTAGTGACTGAATTAGTCATTTAAGAACCACTTAAATACTTTAAGAGAAATTAGAAATGGTGTAAATTCACTGTACGGTGTTAAGGGAAATATTTTGTCAAAGAATCAAGCTCAAGGTAAAGAAATCCACGCCGAAGCTAGAGAGTTTCATAAAATTCTCTGATTTTCCCCATCCATACGGATTATGGCTCTTTATGAGTGCAGAGTAACAGGCATGGTGAAAGAAAAAAATATTTCTAATCCAGAAAATTTCCCTAAATCCTCAACATTTTTTCCTAAATCTTTGTCAGAGAATTTAGGTATCCGACTGCTTTCGACAACCTTTTTTTAAATATTAATATAAAATTTTAAAAAAACTGTCTTATAGGTCTTATTATGTGTATAAACTTATAAAACTAGCAAAAAAAATTATTATTAATTTATTCTTTTTTAATAGCCATTTTTAGGTAAAAATACGGCATTTTTTGATAAAAATAAGGCCTTATTTAATAAGGTAAAAATAAGGCGTCTAAACACTGTAAAAAAATTTAATTATCCAAACCAAAAAAGATCCTTTGAGGATTTTATTTAGAAGAATGTCAACTATGTTTTGAACTGTTACGTTAGAGGCAAGTTACTAAGTTAGGGAAAAAAGGAAAATCTAGTTTTTTCTCTTATTCTGTAAGTTCAAACCATATGTGCTGTAACCATAAACACTCATGAAAAGTTATAGACAACTATTTTAAAAACAACCTGTGATATCATGTTTAATGTGGTAAAATGTGAAAAAAACTGATTTTGAGATAAATGCATTTGAAGACTTAAAATCACTAGTCTATCCAACGTTATCACCTTGCACAAAAACTTCGTAAATAATTAGAGTACAAACAAAAGTGAAGTATTTTTAGAAAGTTAACAGTTCAGGAATTCAAAATTTATTATAAACTCTATTTTGAAAATTTAATTCAAAATCATGTTTTTGCACTTCGCATATTTTAAAGCCGAATGCAACAGTAAAGTTTTCATCAACAAATAAATTTGAAAGGCTTAGAAACTGGCTACTGAAAGCAACTGTTTTAAATATTTCATGTCTGTTAATTTTTCATATCTGAACATTCTTTAGATACCTTGTGCACCCAGTACTTCTGCAATTTTTTTAGTTTATTTGCGATATAAGTTTTATAATGCTCAATTCATATACCATTAGTCAAAATTTTTAAAAATCCCAATTATGAATATAAGGAATTAACTTTTATTTCAATTTAAATAGTTAATAATCTTTCTCATCAAGACTAAGAGTTTTCCTGAATTTTCCGACACAGCAGTAAAAGAATACAGCAATAGAAAAATAGTCAAAAGAATTACGAAAAATGATGTACCATTTATCATGAGCTTAAAAAATCACAAATATAAAAATGAAGAATTAACTTTCATTTCGATATAAGTAGTGTGTCTGATTTCGTACCTTAAAATATCGTGTGCACTAATTAATTAGCATATTTGTAGCCATTATCTCAAACCTTTAAGAATGAGTCCAAGAACGTGAAAATACTACAATTAGATCAAACGTTTTTCAGGGTAATCCGTTTTCTATTTTACGCACTGTACATCAAAATTAGTATATTTGCGTTCAAACTGTGAAAAAATTCCTTAATTAAGGAAAAATCACTTGAAAGTTTCCCATAGAATAAACTGATACTGTTATAAAATTGTAGAGAAATAAAGATTTAAAAATATTAAAACAAAAGATTTTAATAAAGGATACAAAGTGTAACTGTAACATATATTTTTATAGATTTTTGTTAATCGAATTTTAAACAAAGTTAACCTGTATATAAATAGACAAAAAAACATAGAGAGATAAGGAGAAAAAAATTATCACTAATTTCAAAAAATACACACCACTCTGAACAAATTCTGGATTCGTATTACTTTCAGCCTTGATGAAATAAGGAAACACATCTTTCCAAACCCAACCATCTGCTCCGTGATCAGACCAATGATCGTAGTCTCTTTTATTACCTCTGGTGTAAAACATGAAATTAATAATTCTTGAACCTGCAAGTCCCTTCCCTCTTGGAACATCGAGTTGCTAAAGATAAGAACAAATATTATTCATAAATATTTTGAATAATTATTATTCATTAGAGTGAACACTGTTCATAGACGCTTAGGATAAATATTATTCATTGATGCTTGAAATAACTATTATTTAAAGACGTTAAGGATAATTATTTTTTTATTAACAATTTGGGTAAATATTTTTCATAATTTTATTCCATGATGCATAGAATAAATATCATTCATAGACAATTAAGATAAGCATTTTATCATTAATGATTAAGATAAATAATATTCAAAGATGAATCTTGATCATAGATTGATGTTTAAGAGGCCTTCTTTTTCTTTTGAGACATTTCAACTGTTAAATATTGTTATTTTCGCTTATGACATGATACTCGCCTTTCACAAATACACATGTATTAAAATATATTAATTAACTTTATCTTCTCGAATAGATAGGTAGTTACTTTATTTACGTCACACTAGAGCTGCACAATGAACTATTGTCGACGTTCTGGGAAATATCCCTGAGGATGATCTGAAGACAGCCCATCGCAATTTTAATCCTCTGCAGAAGGGATGGGTCCCCTGCTTTGGTAACCCGACTACATGCGCGTGAAGTCGAGTACTTTACGGTGGGACAGTTTGTCGAGAACCGATACCACGCACCCTCGATCACTACGCAGCCTGATCAAAGTGGTCACCCACCCGCTTTCTGACAGCAACCAGTGATGCTTGACTTCAGTGTTCTACTGGCAACCGTGTCTTTATGATCAGTCCCTTTTCGAATAGAAACAGAGGTCTATAAAAGATTAACTTAGACTCAGGATTTTTAAAGCGGCCATGAACATCACTTAGTAACATAATAAGGAATCACGATGGATAAGTGGTTAAGGCACTCAACTGCTGTTGTGCAGAGCCTGAGTTCGATCTCTAGTGGGTGCTTGAAATTAGCTTAGCTTGCTTTATCGTAAGAGTTTGTCAGTATGTCTCCAAAATTAATTACCCAAATCAAAAGAGTTGAGTACCCACCATTTAAACTCTTATACTTAAAGGAACTTTAATCAAAGTATAATTTCTAAT